AATCGCATGCTTCTTGATGATCGCCAAAAGCTACCCGCTGTACGACTTGGGCTAAATTTAATGGTTTGAGTCGACGACTAGTCTCGTGATACAGTATGTTGAAAATTTGAAACTATGCCGCTATTTTAAACCTAAAACCCAATTTTTTTTGCTGAATCTCCACCCTTATAGAGTTTTCGGCACTTTTATCGACCTTATCCACCCAACTTGTCATAATTTCACATTCGGGTGTAATGCATGTTTCTGACTATGAAAGTAGTTTTAGTACCGATGTTACTAGTAGGTGTCGCATTCGTGATCATGACCATCAAATATCCCCAAGTGTAATTATATCAGTTTTTGTTAAAGAGGTCAGAACGCCAAATCGACGCCTGAACCATTTGCGCTGAAAAATGTTGCTTGTAATTCGCGGCAACCAAATAAAATTTTTTTAGCAACAACTGCGCTCTTCTAAGATTTTGACCACGTTATATTCGAACAGCCCCAAAAAATTAAACATAAGCTCAAACACATCATTTCCGAACTTGCCGCGAACTTTATGGTGGTTACATCGCCATGAAAACATTTAATAACAAACTTACCGATTCGACATTCCGGCAATGGCCGTCGTGGTCGATTTATGTCCAACCCATAACTATCCAGTATAATACGTTTTTTGTCAACCATCTTTTCTCCTCGAAGAGACGATAGCAATTCGCCTGAAAAGGAATGCTATTAAGATATGGGCCATAAAGCTCAATGACGTCAACCGGTTACCAATACCGACTGAGAGAAGGTAACCTTCTTCTGAAGGGACAAAGTGACTACTTCCATTTTCTTGTTTTTTTTTTACCAAAAACTTTCTTAGAATTAAGGGTATCGTAACAAAAGTGACATTTACTGAGGCTTACAGCTATCTTACCACCGTTTAGCGTCCGGTAAAGTGACGTGTGTAAAAAAACTAGTTCATGAGCTGTAAAACGTTCTTTTTATACCGTGGTTACGTACAAGGGGCGTATCACGTCTTAGTCACGAGTCGCCGCGAAAGGGGAGCTGTAAGAGGGTGGAAGTGCGCAGCATTTGCCTCAGGCCCCAACCTGCGCACTATTCGCTTCAGGACCTGAGTTGTCTAACTTCTGAGTGTTGCGTTGCGTCGCTTCGGCAATTTACGGAATGCAGAATCAGGAAACAAATATGACTGTGCTCTGACACGAAAAAGGAATGCTTGAGCGCCAAGTCCAAAGACAGTCTCGGATATCAAGCAGTCCGTAGGCATCGTTCACTTCTCAAGTAATCTGACCCGCAGTACCTAAGTTTGTTGGGAGCGGGGATCGTATCTTCACCGGAACTTCACGCATCACGATGTTGCACCCTTTCCTACAAGGGAAGCACGGGAAAAGTCAACAATAGGAAACCGTTTTCTCCACGGCGTACGACCCCTTCTCTCCAGGCTTGATTGCGACCCCCACCCCTTCATCGTACAAGTAGCCTGGTCCTCAGTCTCTATGACTGTCCCACTTTCTGCAGCTCCATAGCGAGTAACGAAGGCGCTGTGGCCCTCATAAGTGGCAGTTCTGACGCCTTCCTAGTTGTCCCGCCCACCAAAACTCGAAGGCTATTTTCTGTCACGAATTCAGTTTCTACAACGAGTTTTTTTTCTTCTTTGTTATATGGTATCAGCACTAGGTGACGCGATGAAACGAACAGAGGCGGCTGGTTATAACCCTGATGGCATAAAATGAGGAGGTCCGGAGAACTTGTCCAGAAAAGGTGCCAGGGGGTCCTTCCTAGTTGGGGTGTATTCCCCATGAATCTTCTCTGAACTTTTCTTCCCTAAAGAAACACTTAGCGTTAGTACGTCTGTGAAGGCCACTGTCCAC